AGGAAGGAAGGAAGGAAGAAAGAAAGGAAGAAAGGAAAATATTTCAAATTTAACTTAGCACCTAATGAAAAATATTCTGGTTTTAAAGACTAGAAATTTAAATTTCTAGCCTTTAAATTTAAAGAATATTGATTTATTTATCAACTGGTATTGAATTTCACTAATAGACTACTGCTGATTGATGGATAGTTTTGATACTTGTTTAGATTCATGGATTTATCCATTTTTCAAAACTTGCTCTAGCCTTTGCTTTCCTCTGTCCTCGGGGGGATTATTGGAAGACTCCTTGATGCTCTTTGACCTTGGTTGTTTGCAGACATTTCATTACCCAGTTAGGTAATATCAGTGCTGGTAAGGGTGGGGTTTGCTTCTTTCTTATGTACAGTAGTTTGCCCTGTCAGTTGTTGATGGAGATGTGGTTTTCTCCTTGGTAGTTCCTTGTATATGATGTTGTTTGATGATGTCTGGTGTTAATCCCTGCTTATCTGGGCGTAGGCTGCTGCAGATACTGTGTTCTGATTTTTTTTTTGTTTTCTTCTTTGTTTTTTAATTGTTCATTTGTAGTACGTAAACATGGGTTATCTCTGTGTGTCTATTAATGGCCGATTTGTCTGAATGTCAAATTTCCAGGAATTCCTTTGTGTTTTTGATTTAGCTTGGTCTAGGATGCTCACAATTTCCAATTGAAACAATGGATGAATCTGTCATGTGTTGCAGAATAAAGACTTTTCATCATGTCTTCTGACTGCTAGTTGGTGTTCATGGATGTGCTCTGCCTGTCTGTCCTTCATAGTGGCTGTTAACATCCATACATTGGATGAACAAACCCCACACTGAAGAGCACTGATGGTATTACCTAGTTGGATAAGGAAATGTCTGCAAGCAAACAATCAAGGTCAGAGAGCAGCAAGGACTTGGTAGTTCAACCCTGAGCTCCATATATTCTTATATAAATAACTGGATTACTATACGAGTTTTGGTAATGTTCCTGCATTACTTCCACATGACTGCTCATTTTTTTTTTTAAAATGCAATCTCCTCAAAGTCCATTGGAGTCAAAATACATTGTAAAAATCTCATTCTATGAGACCAAACTGTGAGATAGTGATCTTCCTCAAATCATCATTTGAGCTAATTAGTGAGATTAAATTTTAACTTCTGGAAGGCTGATACTAAAATAAAGTTCCTGAAATTTGTTTGTTCTCTTTTTTTTTAGTTGTGTCAGAGTAGAAGAGCACCATGCTGTTGATATTGACCTTTACCACTGTCCCAATTGTGCAGTTCTACATGGACCCTCCTTAAGTAAGTGATGAATTTTAAAGCATTTTGCACAATTTCGGTTATGGTGGACTCAATACTGAATATAAATTATTTTTATAGCTGATGATATGGCTATCCTTGATAATTATGCAATGTCATTTTGAAGTTATATTTCAATGTGATTTATACTCTGATTTTACCTTTAATTGTTTGCATCATTAACAAAGAGGTATGCATTTGTCCCCTTTGGAATCTGCTATGTCTATTGATTAGTGCAAGAGATTAAGCTGTGTAATGTATAATAGCAATATATACCACTTCATAGTTATCTACAGCCCTCTCTAAGCAGTTTACAGAGTCAATATATTGCCCCCAACACTCTGGGTCCTCATTTTACCAACCTCGGAAGGATGGAAGACTTGAGTCAACCTTGAGTCTGGTGAGGATCGAACTGCTGGCAGTCAGCAGAATTAGCCTTTAATACTGCATTCTAACCACTGCATTATCACGGCAATAATATACTTGGGAAACATACAGGGACCAGTAATGTTTGGTCAAATACTGTATATACTCAAGTATAAGCCTAGTTTTTCAGCCCACTTTTTGGGCTGAAAAAAGCCGCCTC